GTAACATATTTGTTTCTTTGAATGATGCATTTCTGTGAGTGTCCCTCCACATTTTAAGTGTCATTTTGTTTTGTTTTGGTTTTTACCTTGCAAACAGGCAGCGGAGGAAACCTCCAGGGAACTAAGACAGAGTCCGCGAGAGGCACAGTCACACAATACATCCCCGAGAACACGGATTAGACACATAGTGAAACTTCACAGCTCCGAATCACCACCCGCTCCAATCCCCTCACCATCTCCTCCTCAGAATGAGAATCAGAAAGCGTTACAGAAACAGCAAAGAATCCGAGAGGTAGTAGCACTGAGCGTATCACAAAACAATAGATGATGCCTTTTTTGAGAAATTGGCGCACTTTACGTAAAAAATATCTGATGCATTCGCGCCATCTCTTAGCACTCATTGATAGCTTGCGTAGAAGCTTACGATGTCGTTATTTCAGTATTTCGTTTTAATATTTTGTTTTGTGTCACTTCATTTTATTTTTAGTTGGGGAATAAAGGCTTGAATGAGTACACTTCATTTTTTAAACTAGATCTTGCCTAGACTTTAAACTACAGAAAATAAGATGAAATTAGCTTATACAGTTCTATGTTGTCTTTATTTGTATTGTTGTTGGTTGCGGGAAGATTGGACGCGAGTTTTCCTGTCTGCGCAGGGTGTAATGGGAATAGGCGTGGTCTCCTTGTCTGTTTTTTTGTTCAGCAAGGGAAGTTGACGATTTTTGGTCAGAAGTAGTGCCGGAGACAATCAAATGAAAGAATTACAGAAAAAAGTATTTTCTGACCTCAGGTTTGATATTTTTGTTTGCTTGTCACAGGACGTTCAGACAAAGTTGTTTACTCCAGCGGCCCCGAGGCCATCCCCTGACGGAGGCGGAGAAAACGACGAAATTGATCCGGGTGGAACTGGGCGTACTACGGTAGGATAAATATGGTTTTCTAAGAAAAAACAAACCTCTTTCCCCCTGTTCTGTGATCCAAACTTGTGTCAGGCCACATTGGCTGAACCTATCAGTGAAGCTTACAAGAATCACCATACCCCTATGATTATATGACACTGATACTTCTTTTTTGTGAACGATGAAAGGAAGATTTCGTGAATTCTTATCTTAGATTAAAAAAGAAAAAAAGAAAAATATTATCTCTCTTTGAAAATAAAGCTTAATTTTGACGTAATGCGCTGTGAGTTTTGCAATACGTATTTTGAATGCGTCCTAACTTGCTTTATTTTACATGAGATGTATCTTATATGTTAACATTTCTGGAATTCGAACTTGGAACCCTTCCACTAGAGAGATCAGTTCCCGCACTACTATAACACCGTCCTGATTGTATTACTGTCAAGCCTGCAATTTTTAAGCGTCGTATAGGGCTAGCCTTAACAACAACTGAATGCTAATCGTTTTGATTCCCACTGGTCAGTTCATTCTTTAACAAGTTACACTTGCAAGTACTCAATAAATACTTAACCCTTAAACGTAGGTTTCTGTCAAACCGGAGTGCTATTCTGCCCAGCTTGTGAATTTGTGCGCGAATGTTTTGAGCGTTTCTTAATGAGTAATGTTCCCTTTAATTTCTCATTATCTTCCTCAAGGGTCAAGGAGCTCTCCCTCACACAGAGCAAGAAGAAGAAGTTATGACTCCGGTGGATTAACTACAAACCAAGAGATGACAAAAAAACAAAGCATGACCTGCCATATAAATAAATATAATATATTACAGATTTCCTTTCAGACCTATAATTTAGCGAGCGTACTTTATTCTTATCCACATATTCAAATAGAAGTGATTGCACATGGCATGGAAAGAAAATTATTGCACAGTCACCGCGTTCCTGATCTCAGATCTTTCCATTCACATGGATCTATGAGAAAAAAGGACATCATCTGTATACGTGACTGGGTCATCTAGTTATTGTGACAAGTGTGAGAGAAATAAGTTGGTTATTGTACAGGACCCGTACAGAATATTACGTATAGAAACGTGTCGAATTTGCAGACGTGTGTCGATGTTCCAAATTTTAAATGCAAAGTTTGGAACAAAGTGCAACTTGTTTTCTTTCAAACTTCGTCCAATGACTATAGTAAACTGTTTGCATTTTTTCTAGTTTTGATGCCTCTTTTATTTATAATTATTCTTTTAAATTTTTTCTTGTTTTTGCGTTTTTATCACGTGACTACAAGATGAAAGCAACGATTAAAAAGTAAAAATAGAACTGTAACCAGGACAAGACATCTTATTATATGATCATAAAAAGTAGTAAAAAACGTTCTCTGGTTAAGAGATTAAAACATAAGCTTTCGGCTATCAGTCTGTAGCGTTTAACGAAGAAAAACTTTCGTTAAAAGCTATAGACTGATAACCGAAAGCTTATGTTTTAATCTCTTAACCAGAGAACGTTTTTTAGTACTTTTTACGTAAACAACGATGTCAGCAAACATGGACGTCACGACTATATTGTCATCTTTGCGCCAGTTTATATCTTCTCTGCTGTACTTTATAACTAACGGAACATCTTGTTTAATTTAAGAAATGTACCTCGCCAGATGTTAGGTAAAGTAAACTGATTTGATGCCAGAAATATCGATTGAGTGGATACCAATTTAAAATTGTGACGCGCATTGTAAGAGTAAAATTTGTAAAAACCGAGCGTAGAGATTTATTTCAGAGAGACGGTAGCACTTAAGGTTTCGTATGGCAGGTCCGTCAGATGAAAAAAAGTTTTAATGATATGTGTTAAGGAGGAACTCTTCGAGAGTTTTTCAGCAGTTAGAAAATGTATTTATTATTTCATGGAGGCTTCATCTTTGATGGCCGTATTCTACGTGTAAATGATGTTTGAGATAAGAAGTATGATGAATGTTAAATCATGCTGAACTCTTTCAGTAAGCCCCAAGCTAAAAATACCAATTCCTGTCACTGGGTGTCACACATTTGGCGGTAGATCAAGACAATATCTCCCAGCTGAAAATGTATTGGCAATACAATGAGAAAATAGATTATGATTACTTGGGGGTTGATGATTCAAGCATGCATGAAACGTTCTCACAAGTTTCGAGGTGTGATTAAAATCCCAGATTGATAATAGCTCGTAAATACTTTGCTCCATTCAACTACTGCATATGTAAGACACAAAATGTAAATAAAGAAGTTATGTCATACAACACCGCCGGTCTTACTGCATAGTTTCAACTAGCTATTGTAGTTTATTTTTAAATCGATGAATTGTGATACACAAACCTCCACACATATATACTTAGGTTACTCCAATCTTACTCGGAAATCTATTTGTTGCATGCCTTTGAAATTGATTTAAAATAGGTCAAAATATGACACTGCGTAGTCAGAATACTAACAAGGTCACATGACGTGGTTTTCCTACATTTTGAGCCTGTACACGAGAGACTGTGTTTGGCCACATTTTCAAACGCTGATAAGAGAGGTGAAATTAAAACACGACGCCCAGCGGAGTATTTTTGACAAACTTTGAGGCGTTTGGAAATGTGGTCAAACACTGTCTTGAGTGTTTGATGAATCTTCTCAATCGAAACTAAGACTAAGGAGAAAACGGAGAAATAAAATCGTAAAATATCTATGCTAATTAAGATCAGATGTCTAACACCGTCACAGTTTCCTTTGTTTAAACTTGATGGATTGTTAATGAGTTTGAGAAGTTTTATTAAAGAACATGATTCCTCAGCCATAAAATCTCACTGATTTGAAAGTGACCATAACTGTCGGAGCTTTGACAAAACAACGTTCAGCAACGTACGTTTAACGAGCAGTGCAATGTATCTGCGTGTGCGTTATTATAAATCGTACATATCTTGGACGTTCATTCAAAACTCACAACAAGGAAAACTCAACAAATACAGTGCATCTGGAATAACGTAAGCAGCGATGTCTAAATTTTGGCATTTCTAGTTATATTTAGTGAGCTACTTCCAATATAAAAGTCAAAAAAATCGAGATAATTGCTAACTTCTCCTGTAAAATGCAGATTTACATCATCCTATAAAAGACAAATCATATTTTAATGGAGCCACTGTTAACCTCATTGTAAAAAAATCCCAATTATTCACGGAAGGGAGAGGGCAAATCGTCTCCAATTAAGTATTTCACGAAAGGTCGACAAAGTTCCATGGTCGCCAGAATCCTGCTTCTAGAGCTTTGTAAGAGCGAGAAATACTTTCATTGTATAGTATGCGTCATTACCGCCATTGTGAAGAATGTCTTCATCAAACGGAATTTCCAAATCTGTTAACAACCGTTTGAGACCGTACAGCAGTGGACCGTCGGGCAGTAAGGCCATGGCGAGGACCTGAGTATCAAACATGCGTTTCTCTGACACGGAAACACCACAGTTGACCAGGAACTCCTCATCGTGAGCCGCAGAATGAGCAACTAAGAAATCTGCCTCGTCGATGTGTTTTTGAATCTTTGCAGCGGCCCTCTCGAGAGACATGCGCTTAGAGGTACCAAACATGAAGTGGTCTCTGTTGTCAGGAACACAATCTCCGTTTTCGTACCTAAGGTTTTCTTTGATGATGTAATGAAACATTTGTAGATCATCTTCCGGGTTGTCTAATGTGGTCATTGCATAGCCGATCTCCAGAATGATATTGTGATCGTGCTCGTAGACTTCAAGGTCAAATGCCAGAACAAGCGCTTGTGATTTGCCTTTGAGGGTCCTCCGTAACTTTTTCACACTCTTTCTTGCTTCCTCTTTTTTCCTAAAATGTTTGAATGAGGTGATATATTTTGAGTTTGGACAGAAACATTTACACCTACACCAACTTTACCGGGGTCTTGAGATTCAACGTCCGAACGACCCTGGAGAAGAATTTTATCTTTTGTTGACCGTGAAATAACTACGTGGAAGCCTTGTTAACGGACACCCGCGGGACTCCTTACTGGAGTAGGCCCCCGGGAGTGAGCCATTCACGACAGTGGTTCTCGCAAGCGGCCAGTAGAGGTGTATAAGAAATAGCTATAGCTAGCCGTTTTACGGGAGCTTGCCCAGCTAACAACGGTCAAAAGTATGCATTAGGAATGCAAAAAAATAACACCATGTTACTACAAACGACTTTGTTTTATTGCGTAATGTAATGCCTCGATAATAATGACATGATATATTGCATTAGTTGAACTGGCCCTTAGTGATTATAATTAAAGAAAAAATCATAATAGACCTTTTCATGGTTTCTAACGCCATCTTGCTTTACAGGAGAGAAGGCACACTGTAATTTTTGTCGTGTTTGGCAAACACGACAAAAATTAGAGTAAGGGCGTTCGGAGCGGAAAAACGTACTGCACAGCTTTCTACACATCCCCATCTCTACTTCCGGGCTCAGGAAATAATGCAGGCTGCAATGGTGGAAATAATGACCGACTATAATAAGGTACATAAGGATGTCGCTCGGTTGATTTATTTATACTTGGATAAGCATGAATTTTTTTTCGACTTCTCACTGTTAAGAAAACGAGACTCCCCCTGCCTGTCCAGAGGCTCTCTTTCTTATTAATTTAGTGGTGTTCATATATGGATGCAATATGTAAAGAGTGTTCGTGGAATAAATGTGTCTTCGCACCGAAATGTCTTGTATACAGCGGGGAAATAAAGGGCTCAGAAACCTTTGTCAATTTGGTTAATTTGTCCGTAAAAAATTTATTCCCCATGAAAATAATACTCCAGCTCTCAATGAGTGACGTGAAAATGTTGCTCCTTACCGGAAATGTTATGAAAGCATATAAAGTTCATAACTTTTTTTGTTTATACGATGGACGAAATTCTCACCATTTTTTCAAACTTGGAGCCTGGCGCGAGGCCAGAACACGCGCATGTTTATTACGTTTTTCCGCTCTGAAGTAGGGTTGTGGGAAAAGCTAAGACGTTCTGAAAATTTAAGAGTTACAAGGAAAAGATACCCAAGATAAGGTTTTTAAAGAATATTGCCGGTTTTCATATGACGTCATAATTTTCCACAATCCTTTTGAAGTTTTAGTTTCATTGGATGTAGGACCCTCTAAAAACTTGACGTTTTAAAACATTTAAGTTCGACAGGGTTCCTCATTTTGTTATAGAGAACGTTTGAATTTCCAAGTTTTTGCGTTGTGTGTCATAAAAATGGCGGCCGAGATGTGTGTCGGAGCTCTAGAATAATAACTTTTCGTTTCAATATATATTAAGACTCAATGACAGCTGTTTCTGTCACGTCTCCATACAAAGCTCTAAAAATTTGGGTGAAACACTTTTCCGAATAACGCGCGAATGAAAAACCGCACAAACCTAAATCTCCTGGCGCGAGGCTGTCTATATATCAATCATCTATCATATTCCATACCCTTGACGTAACTTATTGAATGGTTACGATTTTTAGGGCCCGGACGCACTAGCGAAGTTTTGTTTATTTCGCAAAAATATTTGTCATCTGTTCCGTTCTCCAAGTGCGCACAGTGTTTTTCTTCCTACCTAAATTTTGTGAAGCGGTACCAAACTTCAAAGGTGCCGTCGTCCTGCCTCCGAGCAGGACAAAGTTTTGTCGTCAAAACTGTCAGATTGTACAATTTGCAGGCAGAACGTCAATCAAGTAAATTTGATCTCACTTTATAGAGTCTATACATTCAACGTGATTGACACTTGTGGTTATCAAATATTTTGGTGTTTTCAAGCACCTACGTACCCGATTAGCAAATTTAAAATTTTGTGGAGACAAAATTTGTCGATATTTTTGGCAGAGCCAAACAAACTTTGTCAACCTAGTGCGTACGGTACTTTATTTTTTTATGGCGTGACAGAAATAGATTTGCCAGCTGAGAGGCGAGGAATCGCACTTTCAATTTTTCATACAAATGTCTCTAAATTTTACGCG